ACACAACAAACAAAAACACAGCTACAAAATTGTATCATTGGTAGGCCTACGAAAGTAGGGCGCCAAAGACCGATATGTATCTAATTATAATTAAGTGCTGAGCCTCTATAAAATATTATGGTGCTCACACAACCAGTAAAAGCTTATCCCACTTTTCCAGTTCCGTAGATGTTACTTTCCCCTCTATAAGTCCGCCGAACCTTACATCCTTGAAACTTCTAATCGCTGATGACTTCCTATTATGATTACTATTAAGCGCGAGTGATCACGTGACTAGTCACTTTCCCTCGTACATGTAAACAAACTGTCAGCGTTCTTTGACCTTGAGTTGATAAGTGCGTAATTGCAATATGGTACTGGAGGTTCGAGTGACATATTTCCTGACTGGTTGAAAAACAATAATCATTTTAAAATGTAGAGCTAACACAAGTCTTTCTTGTTTACGTTTATATATTTATTATTGCTGTTAATATTAGGAATGAATGAATGATGTACGATTAACACAAGCGCAGACAGTGTATGTTCTTCTTTCAAATCTACCTTAACAACCTGTTTTATTATTATTATTGTACTAACATGTTGAATGAAGTTGTCAAGGAAAATACTAGATAAATTTAAAAGTGTGAAGTTAACTGCAAGTAATGGGTCATGGTGAGAACATCTCGTGTCTTAAATAATGATCGGTTATTAAAATACAACGTGATATTATTAATTATTATGTATTTTCAGCCTAATGAATTTTATATGGACCATAAATTGCATTCATTGTGATGAGCAAATTAAAGGAATAATCGTAGAAACTAGTTCTTAGCGTGACTATGGTGAACTGGACATTCAATAAATAAATTCCCGCAAATTGAATTAAAAAGAGTAAATCCGCTAGTTCTTTCTGGCAACGTAACATCACTTACTCTGTTTTTAAGTCACAATTAATGCTATTTTTTCGCCCCACTCCTTATGGCTCAGCGGTGAGCTTGAGGACTTGTAATGCTAAAATTCTGGGTTTGATCCTTGTGATGAGAATAGTACAGATAACCTATTGTGCAGCTTTGTGCTCAAAAACAAGCACATTTTTCTCACTTTCCGTGATCTCTATATAGATGTTTTTTGGTGGATAATAGTAATATAAGTTATGAATATCAGTGTAATGGTTTTAAATACTGTCGTAACTGGTTCCAAGAAGTAGGCCAATAATGAAAATCAAAATGCCAAACAGTACAGTTTTTGTTGTTGTTGTTGTGGGATTAAGTTAACTAACAAGTCATAGATGTAGCGATAAATAAATAATAATTTATTAACATTTTTGAATTTGTTTTACATATCTACACAATATTTGTTAAGTCGAACACGAAATTTTGAAATTCTACTTCATGGATGCCAAAAACAAGAAATACAGTCACAACTTTTTACGTTGGGAGTAAACATATTAGGATACACCACTTATAGCACGTGAATGTTATATTTGAAAAATGCCGACAAAACAGTTTCTGGTTTTAAAATTCTAAAACAATATTTAATAACGGATCTTCTTTTCTGAAAAAAAAGAAAAAGAAAGAAAAAAGTCAACTATTTTTTCATGTGACGTAATCACTACCTCTAATAGGCCTGATGATTAAGGCGCTCGACTCGCAATCGGAGGGTCACGGGTTCGAATCCCCGTTGTCGAACATGCTTTCCCTTTCAGCCGTGGGGGCGTTATAATGTTACGGCCAATCCCACTATTCGTTGATAAAAGAGTAACCCAAGAGTTGGCGGTGGGTAGTGTTGACTAGCTGCCTCCCCTCGAGTCTATCGCTGCTAAATTAGGGACGGCTAGCGTAGATAGCCTTCGAGTAACTTTGCGCGAAATTAAAACCAAACTTATTTCTAACTCTTTTGTATAGCTTACGAAACTTTATAGCCAGTACTCGAGGAACACGTAGTAAATACGATAACAATAAATACTTTTAACTATGTTACTGGTGCTATATGAAGTGAGAAGTGTAATTTTGAAATTTGAGTTAAGTTGTTTGCAATCTAAGCCAAATTGTGCAATTTATACATTTCAGACTTCGTGGTCCTTTCATCCTAGGAAATTATAAATCTACTAGTCAGCTTATAAATGTCGCTAATATCTGTAATTTGACAAAATTATTGAGAAATGTAGTTGTTAATATATTAAATTTACATTGTAGTAATATATAGTTAACCGCATTGGCGACAAAGAGACAGAAATCAAAGAATTCGTTACAAAATCGCCAAGTTTGATATATATTTTTTCTTGAAAATGACGATTCGAGCTAACGCTTTTCGTAAAATAATAAAGCTTAGAACTTTAAAAGTTTTGCGATGTGACGAAGCGCGCTAGCTCGAAACATCATCTTCCAGAAATATAAATATTGTTGTAAGCTATATTTTTAATAGTGTAATCTAGATGTTTGTTTGCTAGAGGGAGCATGTCATTACGTCATGATGACGCAATATGTAGCTTCCTGTACTAGGATAAAATAACAGTATATTTAAATACCAGAAGCAGCGAAGTATTCAGTTCAGGGTCAGTTAGTGAGTTAAGACAGTGATTCAGTAGTGAGTCAGAGTTTTTGTTATTGATTTATTAGCGAGGAAATTATTCGAGTAAGTTTATTTGTGAGTTAGGCGAATTTATTTCATAATTTCTATGGAAACTTTGTTTGAGGAAGTTAGGCCTACCAGTTATTGAAGGAATAAATTAATTTGTTATCGTTATCGTAAAGAACCCGCCCAATGATAGAACGCTTTACAGTAATATATATAAAACGTAGCGATTTTGTAATCTTTGTTATATGTCGATTTATAAAATGTGAGCGAAAAATTACAAATATACTCTTCGTTTTTTTTAATTACTTATTTATATTCGACATATACATTGTAATTTATAAATCTAAACGGCGATTTAATAAAACGGAGAGATCATAGATTGTCATGTACATTTAATAAATCAGCCGATTGTTGATTTAACAATTTCCTACCAAGTCGTCACTAATCAATGTTGACCCAAGTTTACCTACTGTCCTCCCTCACGGTAGCTCAGGGGTAAGTCTGTGAGCTCATAATGCTATAAATCGGGTTTCGATACCCTTAGTGGGCAGAGCACAGATAGTCCGTTGTGTACCTTTGTGCTTAGAAACAAAGAACGAAAGAAAAACTTACATTTTATGAAACAAGAAAACTTTTATTCAGTAAACCAAGACGAGTAGTCTAGAAAGCTAGATTTAAACAAATAAAACCTACCCAATATTTATTGTACATTTCTAAATGATACAATGGCTCCTTTGACGCTACCATACAAAACATCTAATATTGTAATTTAAGAATTAATCAGCAAATGTTTATAGTACTGTTCTAGGCTATGTTTTTAATTTACATGTTTGTATTGTTAATTGGCCAGAGGGAGGTTCGACGTCATGTGATTAGCACATAACTCAGTGTATGGAATATTCTTTAAAGTTTTAGAAAAGTTGGAACCAGATATAAAGAGTTAGTTTAAGCTACAGTTACCGGGTGAGGCTGTTGATCGAGTAATAATGCATGTTTAGTCAGTTTATTGCTGTCAGACAGTTAATATTAGTGATATATATAGTTGAGTTTGTATTTGTAACGAAGTACAAATGATATGAAACTATAAAGTGGAATTTCTTTTTATACATTTATTATTTATGAAGTTATATCTATTGTTGATTACATAAAACCTTTCAATTTATACAACTTGTAATCGAAGAAATAAAATGCTTTCCTTATCATCAGTATAAATTGACTGGATTTTACACTCGTCGTTTTAGTGAATAATGCAAATAAATCCACTAAACAATAGAAACCATTACATAACCATGAAACGACATAATATCTGTTAAAAACTTTGCAAATATACTATATTAATTTTTATTGCCGTTTTTTAAAATATAAAATTCCTTGAACAAATTAAGTGACTATAATATATGAAACTTCTTAACTCATTCAGGAATTAAACCTGTTTGAAAGTTTTATTTTCAATCGTCATGAATGATGGAGTGGAGAAGTCTTTAGTAGTGGGTTATTATCGTCACTGGGACTGACACACAAGGTCAAGTTTTCATCGACAGGATCCAGGTAGCTGGTAGTATATCCTCTTCACTGATAGTTTAGCTTCACTTCTGCGTCTTTAGTTAAATTCTCAAAGATATGATGTGAGAGTTACATAGCAGGTTATTTATTTATTTTTTTTTGGAGATAGTCAATAAGCGAACTTCTCAGTGATCAACCTTTGAATTAATGGCTTCTATCTGAAGTATAATACATCATTGGTCCTCTTTACTATTATTGGATATGAGTTATCAGTGCCAACTAAAGTTTGGAGATGTATCTATTCCTTATCTTCTGGTTCAATAAATAAGCATTTTTAGCATTCTGGAACCCAGACATTATACCATCTCTGCATATTGGGACTGGCTTGTTTGAGCGTTTTGGGCAAAGTGGATATAGTTGTTAATAGGATGCTTCAAGTTATTTGAATATGCTAGAATGTAAATATTACATTTTTGGGTTTCAAGAGTGTCGGTAACTACTTTTTGGTTGTATATATATATATTGATGTAAATGTATGGGTTTGTTGAGCTGAGGATTCTTCTACAGTAGGTGTCTGTGACTTGTTGGCGATAAATTCGACAATAAACGAACAGCAAGCACTCCACTTGTTTTTAAAATACTATGTGTATTCGAAACAAGTTAAATGTATGTACAAAATTATTTACACAATGGATATCATTGTTGTATCTTAAACACAATATAGTTCTCTTCTTCTTGTCAAAAGTCCACTTAGGCTAATTCAATTGCTCTAGAATTCAGTTGACAAGCCGAACTATTTTTCTATTTTTTATCGCAATAGTATCCGTGTATAATTCACTTATGTTGTCACGTGAGTTACTGCAGTTGTATCCTGAACTTCCAATAATTATCTGCTTTTTCGTACATCCAATAATCGTCTGCTCTTCGTACTTCCAATAATCGTCTGCCTTTTGTCAAAGTTCACACAGGTGGGTTCAATTAGTTTATAACACCCTTTGACGAGACAAATTATTTTCCTTATCTCTTTCAAACTGTTAATCTCACTTTATCATATCAACCGTCAGGCCATTCACTCCCACGACAGTTAACTTTACATTTTTAAACTTTTCTCTGACCGAACTTCTCTTTTACGTGACTCTACTTTTTCTCTGTTTCTACTCGTCTGGCAGCAGCTATTTATACGTCCACCACTTAGGCCTTATAGAAATCTCCATAGCCTCGATATCAATGGATTTCAAACACTACGTTCGATAGCTTCCACATCAATGAATTACAAACACAAAATTAATTAATTAATAATACTACCTACACTAAACAGTCTTTTATATCTGACAAACAGACAGTTTTAATCTCTCATGTTCTGTCTATCAATATAAATGACTGCTTGGTTCAATAATACACTAAACTTCACTAGATCTTTCATTGTTTTTGTGTGACCAAATGGAATAACAGTTATTTGTTGGATAGTTAAAAGAAGTTCATCCTCATTGAAAGCAGCTGATCAGAATACAGTCGGAATTCATCCTTGCATATCAGAAAGCCATTTAAGACCATTTAAGGTCTGTCTCTAAGATGTACATCTCTTCTTCGTGTATCACCCACACATCATGTTGAACAGAGGAATCTCTAAGGGGTAGATTTTACTTGTGGTTTGTTTCAACCCACTTTTTAGTTTCGTATGTAAACAATGATTTCTATTATTGGGGGAGGGGACTTATGTATGAGTAATTGTTGCTGTATATCTAATGTTCAATTGCGCATGTTATAGTTTTTGCTTATATGGTCCCATTAAGGCGAGGGCAAATTCCCAAATAGTAAATTTTTCTAACCTGAAATGGACGCACCTACACAGGAGTGTTCGAGGGGGTTCGGCCGAACTCCCTGTTTTTGTGATGTAAAAATATTATGCTTATATAGTTAAAGCGCAGCGGCTTGTGGTATTTAACGTTTTATACATAGTCTACATTCTTCTGATGAAGCACTTGAATTTTCTGGCTTGACATAGTCGCTTACTCCCAGACCCCATTAGTATGCTGATTATGTTTCGCACAATATGTGTTGGCTTTTCATCTCACAAATTAGAACTCCCCTTTCAAGCATCCTGGGCCCGAATGGGGTAGCTGTATTCATTCCAGCAGCTGCATTGTGCTTCTTTAGTTCAGTTAATTCGAATTGAAATTTAATAGCATGTCACTATACGTCCTTTTCAATCTTTGTTCTATAGAAGTATTAACAATGCGATCTACAAAACTTTTATTTTTGGCCGTGAATTAGCTTTATCTAATTTGCGGTTACAGCTAAGTTCGCACTGATCACAACAACAACAACAAAAAAAGTTCTTCGTTAGTTTGTAGTATAATATCGCTGTTTACTGTCCGTAGCTGACGCTGTTTTCTTAGTGCAAAGCTAAACAACAGGTTACATGCACTCTGCCCATTGCGGGGAATTGAACTCCAGACCTTTCTTTAGCAAAATATATTACTATTCTTGAAATATTTCAATATTTTGTGATACTACTCTGAACTTGGGAGATTAAACCTTTTAGCTTATGGATTATTAATAGCCAATACCAGATGGGTCAACACCAGATGCCCTGATAGTTAATTTTGAGCAGAAGTGCTGAGATGCTTCTCACCAATATTAATGTAATCCAACTCTTTAAATGATGAATCACAGCGATCATTTTAATTTGTTTTAATTCATATATGTATATAATATTGCTCATCAATGTTATGGCTGGTTCTTTCAGTTGACCAATAAGATGGATAGCTCATTGTCCATCACTCAACCATAGTATTAGTCTTCTATGCTTCCCATGGTATATGTCTATCATCATAGGTTAGGTAAAAGGTTTTGGTTTGGTTTGAATTTCGCACAAAGCTACACGAGGGCTATCTGCGCTAGTCGTCCCTAATTTAGCAGTGAAACACTATAGGGAAGGCAGCCAATCATCACCACCCACCGCCAACTTTTGGGCTACTCTTTTACCAACGACTAGTGGGATTGACCGTACCATTATAACGCCCCACAGTTGAAAGGGCGAGTATGTTTGGTGGGACGGGGATTCGAACCTGCAATCCTCAGATTGCGAGTCGAGCACCCTAACCACTTGGCCATGCCGGGCTGGTTAAAAAGCTAGTTGATAAATCATGAGACTCCAGAAATGGTTGCGATAGCTGGAGTAGGAGTGTCAAACGTGCTAGCTTTTTTTTTTTTTCTTGGAAAGTTCTTTAATTTGGCTTCCCACGCCTATAGAAGGTTCTTCACCCACGTTCTCTTTTGTAATGAAGGAACAGTGCAATCTGTACTCTTTTTCTTTTTTTTTTCTCTCTTTCTCTTTTAGTGTGTGTGTTCTGTGACAATCTTGGCATGTGAAGCTTCTTGAACAGCTGCAAGTCGTATATCACTCACAACTGACAGAACTGAGCGTCATCAAATTTTCTCCTTACCTGTTTTTGGTCACCTCAACAACATTCTTGCATTTTATGAATTGTTTAATAGTAATTTTAGGATTCATGTTTCTCTGGATATTTTCTACAACGACAAATGATATTAAGACTAAAATTTTTAGTTATGTTTGTGTTATTTACTTGTCCCGTCTATCTATTCCACACTCTCCAAAAATTCTAGTCGTGTTTTTTCTCCTCATCATTTTTCATATCGTTTTTATATATCTTCTGGGACTTTTTATAATTTCATCTTGGCTTTTGACATATATAGTCACTTTTAACTGTCATTCTCTTTCTTGACGCTAATGTGTCAGTCTTTCTTGTTTATTTGCTCAATTTTTTTAATCTCAGATGTTAGGTTTATTGATTTGTAAAGCTATAAATACGAGTTAAGAAAATGAAAAGTATGGAAAAGAAGGTTTGTTTTGTTTTGAATTTCGTGCAAAGCTACACGAGGGCTATCTGCGCTAGCCGTCTCTAATTTAGCAGTGAAAGACTAGAGGGAAGGCAGCTAGTCATCACCGCCAACTCTTGGGCTACTCCTTTACCAACAAATAATAGGAATGACCGTCACATTATAACGCTCCCACGGCTAAAAAGGCGAGCATGTTTGGTGGGACGGGGATTCGAACCCGCGACCCGCATATTGCTAGTCGAGCGCCCTGACCACCTGATGAAAACAAAAAGGAATAATAAAAGGAGTGTTATTTAAAATATCAGAAGCATTGTGGCATCAATGGTTAAAAGGAGTGTTATTTAGAATATCAGAAGCATTGTGGCATCAATGGTTAAAAGGAGTGTTA